CCAAACCGTAACAGTCCTCAAGGCTTAACCATGTATGAGAACTCCCTTGGATTTTAAGGCTGAGCACTCTTCCCTTGTGTGGAAAGGGCCAGTGGTGTTGACCCATTCATCAGGATGATGATTTTTGAGAGACCATGTCATGTTTTTGCTGCAGGAAACGTAATCTAAATCCTTTAGGATAACCTCAAACTGTAAATTCTTTTTTTTTCCTCCAACTTTTATGGTAGGTTCAGAGGTGCAGGTTTGTTATGTGGGTAAACTGGGTGTCGTGGGGGTTTGGCGTATGGATTATTTTGTCACCCAGGTAATAAGCCTAGTACCTGATGGGTAGTTTTTCAGCCGCCGAGGAGTCCCCAGTGTCTGATGTTCCCTTGTTTGTGTCTATGTGTACTTGATGTTTAGCTTCCACTTGTGAGAACATGGGGTGTTTGGTTTTCTGTTCCTGCATTAATTCTCTGAGGATAATGGCCTCCAGTTGCATTCAAATTGCTGCACAGGATGTGATTTTGTTCTTTTTTATGGCTGTATACTATTCCATGGCACCACATTTTCCACGTACCACATTTTCTTTATCCAATCCACTATTGATGGGAACCTAGCTTGATTCCTTGCCTTTGCTGTTGTAAATTCTTTAGGTGCTCTCAGAGTCACCACAGAAGACACCTACCCTCCAGCAGTGCACGTTGTTCTAGTGACTTCAAACACCTTTCCTAGTGGCTCCTTCCCAGGCCTATCTCAGCGTTTTCTAGATCCCAGGGCTCAGCCTAGGGCTGGCATGGAGAGGAGTGGTGGGGGCTGTGGAAGGTCTGGCTGCCATAACGCTGGCCCGGTGGCCAGTTTCGAGGAGTCACTGGATGCCCATGTTAGCCCTGGGGTTGGCACTGAAAGGGTGACATTGAGAAGGCGCATGCGTTCCCTGACTTTTCTGGCTTCCAGAGGCCACCTGCATTCTCTGGCTCAAGGCCCTTCCACCACCTTCCAAGCCAGCCGGGTGGCATCTTCAGGTCTCTCTCATCCTATCCCTCGTCTCTCTCCTTCCACCATCGCGTCTCCTCTCCAGACTGCAGCCCGCCTGCCTCTTCCAAGGACTCTTCTGATGCCACTGGGCCCGCCTGGATGATGGGGATGATCTCCCATCTCCAGATACTCCAGTTAACTTACCTGCAAAGGCCCTTGCACCACATGTATTGGTTCCTGGAGCTGCTGTAATGAGTGACCATAAGATGGGTGGCTCAAAGCAATGTATTCTTTTACTTCTAGAGGCCAGATTTCTGAATTCAAGGTGTCAGCACCACCGGGTCCTTCTGGGGGCTCTGAGGGCGGGCGTCCTGTGCCCCTCTCCTGCCCTCTGGTGGTTGCCAGCGCTCCTGGGTGCTCCTTGGGTTGTAGCTGCCACACCCCAGTCCCCGCCTGTCTTCCGTCTGTGTGTCCAGATTTCCCCCTTCTGGCAGGGACACCCGTTACTGGGTTACTACTCACTCAAGTGCAGTGTGACCTGATCTTGATGACACGTGCAAAGATCCTGTTTCCAAATGAAGCCACACTCAGGTTCCAGGCAGACATGAGTTTTGGGGGACACTGTTCAACCCACTGCCCCTTGTAAGGTCATACATTCATAGGTTCCAGGGATTTGGGTGTCTTTGGGGCTGCTGTTCAGTCTGTCACAGATGGCATCTCACAGAGGTATGGGGCCTCTAGGAAAAGCAGTCCACATGGAGAATCCAGGCCTCATCAGCATGTCTATCAGTCATCAAGGCTCACAGAGGTCCAGGTTGATGCCAGTGAGGCCTCAATTACTCGTCACTTATGTGCACCTAAGAAAGGATCCTCAGAATCTTCAGCTACAGATGTGGGGCCTTTATTGTCATCGTGGTCTTTGAGGCCACTGTCGGGACAAGTTTCTATGACAGCCCCCCACATCCCTGCCCCTTCATAGTGGATTTTAGGTGGTTTTTTATTTATTTGTATTTGAGACACGGGCTCACTTGGTTGCTCAGGCTGGAGTGCAGTGGCATGATCACAGCTAGCAGCAACCTCTGCTTCCTGGGCTCAAGCAATCCTCCCACCTCAGCCTCCTGAGTAGCATGGTGGACACATGCGCCACCATGCCTGGCTAGTTTGTGTATGGGGACGCACGCACACATTTTGTGTGTGTGTGTGTGTGTGTTTTTAAGAGGAGGAGTCTTAGCATGTTGTCTGGGCTGCTCTCTAACTCGTGGGCTCAAGTGACCCAACCCGTGTTGGCCTCCCAAAGTGCTGGGATTGCAGGTGTGAGCCACTGCGCCCGGCCAGTACTTCTTAAAGCACTATCTGCCATGAGAAGAGATCCCCAGAGCAGAACAGGGCCGAGTGCCCAGGGGGCTTGTGAGTGACCCAAACCAATGTAAAAGGTGGCAGTGGGTGCTGCATGGAGAGAAGCCTGAATGGCAGTGTGACGGCATGGGGGGTGACTGGGGAGGACGGCGTGGTCCTCACAGCATGAGAGGCAGTGGCAGCTCGGAGCTCAGTGGTGGTGGTAAGGGCTGGGGCCAAGGGCAATAGTACATCATACCTGTCTTGCTCACTGCTGTATGCCTGGCATCTGGTATACAGTAGGTACCTAATAGTGGTCTGTTTCTTACGGGAGGGAATAAATAGGAACCTGGTAGGTAGGAGTTAGGAGACAGGAAGAGGCAAGGACTGGTGGCCTCTGCAGTTGCCAGGATGGAGCCCTGATTTCCTCAGCTGGGGAAAGTCATGGGTAGGAGCAGGTTTAGGGCAGAAAACAGAGATGCGTTTTAGTTTGGTTTGAGATGCTCATGAAGCGATGCAGATGGAGCGCTGATTAGGCATTTGGACATGAGGCTGACAGAGGTTTGGGAGCTGATGGTCCGCAGAGCTCTGCTGCCCAGTATAGGAGACATCAGTCATACAGGGTCCAGAGCACCTGAGATGCAGTCCGCCCAAGCTGAGCTGTCTAGTGCACAAAATAACACTAGCTTTGCAAACTTAGTACCCAAAATGCATGTTGAAATGATGATGTCTTGGATGTACTCGGTTAAATGAAATACACTATTACCATTTTCAGCTGCATTTAAAAAATATTTTTAATTGGGCTACTAGAATTTGTGTTTGTGAAATAGGATCTCGCTGTTGCCCAGGCTGAAATGCAGTGGTGTGATCACTGCTCACTGCAGACTTGAACTCCTGGCTCAAGCGATCTGCCTGCCCTGCCTCCTGAGTAGCTGGGAAGACAGGCGCATGCTACCATTTGTGGCTAATTAAAAGAAACCAACAACAAAAACAGAAACTTTGTAGAGACAGGGTTTTGCTATGCTGCCCAGGCTGGTCTTGAATACCTGGCCTCGAGCTGTGCTCCTGTTGGGGCCTCCCAAAGTGCTGGGATTACAGGCCTGAGCCATGGTGCCCAGCTGAAAAAATTAAATGGCACACATGGCTAACATGCTATTTCTGTTGGACAGCACTGGTCGAAGTGCCATGGGTGGGGGGTCACTTAGGATGGTACAGGACAGGAGCAGCAGCCGGGAGACTGTACCCTGAGGTCCCTCCGTATTCCCCCTAGTGTGGCTTCCTGATTTAATACTCAAGGCAATGCAGCTGTGGGGTGCCTAGCATGGTGTCCACATCACCACCCTCCCCCCAAAGGAAATGCCTGCACACCTCCTCTATCTGCAACAGCTCACAGCGGTCTTTGCCCAGCTGGGCTTTGAGGTCCACCTGCAACAATACCCTTCATGGCGCCCTGGTGGGAACTTACCTTATGCCTGGATTCTCATCCCAAGAGCCTTTTCTTTTCTCAGTTCTCATAACTAGGTTAAAAAATGTCAACTTCTCTTGCTGTAGGGTCTGAGTATTTCAGCCAGTGTAAATTACTTGAGGGGTACAGGGCCAGTGTCAAGCTTCTTTCTTATCCTTTAGGTCTCAGCCAAAAAAATCACTTTAGCCAAGAGGACCACTTGGCCTTAGCCCCATGGCTCTCAACTGGCCCCCGTCACCCCATGGGACCTCTGGCCATGTCTGGATGTCACCAACTGTCATAACGAAAGGGGTGCTCCTGGCATCTAGCAGGTGGAGGCCAGGGAGGCTGCTGCACACCCTACGGTGTACAGGACGGCCCCCACAACAAAGTCATCCAGTCCCCAGTGTTAGCGGCGCCAAGGCTGAGAAACCCTGGCCTAGTCTGTTTAAGGTAGATTTTGGCTTGGGACCAAGAATCTCCAACCAATCCCCATTACTCTTTTGCAGTAGTTACTATGGTCTGAGATTATCCGGATGGTTGACTTTTTTTTTTTATTTTTGAGTCAGAGTCTCAGTCTGTCACCCAGGCTGGAGTGCAGTGGCGCTAAGTTTACTGCAACCTCCACCTCCTGGGTTCCAGCAGTTCCCTGCCTCAGCCTCCCGAGTAGCGGGGATTACAGGTACCTGCCACCATGCCTGGCTAATTTTTTATAGAGATGGGGTTTCATCATCTTCACCAGGTTGGTCTTGAACTCCTGATCTTGTGATCCACCCGCCTTGGCTTCCCAGAGTGCTGAGATGACAGGCGTGAGCCACTGTGCCTGGCCCGGGATGGTTGACTTCTTAAAAAAAACTCTTTTATCTGTCTGTGTCAGCTCCACTGTGACTCCAACAGTGCCCCGTACCTGTCTTGCTCACTGCCTGGCACCTGGTAATAGAGCAGGTGCCTAATAATGGTCTGTTTCTTAAGGAGTGAATACATAGGAACCTGTAAAGAGGGGTGTTTTTTTTCTGTATGAAACTTTAATTCTACATTGCCAGTTTATCTGGATCTGCCTAATATAATTAACTCAAAATGGAATTCTGCTCCACTTCAACGATAACATATGTATTAAAAGTTCACCTCAATCTCAAGTTGTTGAAAAAGAATTGAGACAGAGACCATACACTGAAGTATCCAATTTATAAAATGTCACAATTTTTATTTTGTCATTGTAAAGAGGTTTATCTCAACTAGGTTGTAACAAAATTTCCACAGCTTATTCCAAAAGAAAATTTTAATACAAGAGATCTTAAAAAATTAAACACATTTGTTTAAAAATCCTATTATGTAAACCTTAACATAAGAGGGTAGTTAAGAGAACACTACAGGTTTCAGGGCATCTCCGGAGACATTTAGACCTTATGTACACACAGACTATAATGGACTCTAGATTCACGGCTCTCTTACCCCGAAGACGGCTCACTGGCACCCGATCATGGGTAACTGGCCAGGCCAGGCGCCCCCCTGCAGCGGGGTTACCATTGCTCCTCCATTCAAAAGACTCGCTTAAGAAGTCGGTGTCAGATGAGTAGGGGTTCTACCCGGCAGCTAGGCCAGGGATGAAGAGAGGTGGACATTCTTCTTAGGAGGAATCCTGGCTAATACAAATTCTAATGAGCTCCACCCCCATCCCCTTCACTCCCGGAAATCTGCAGTCTCCGGGGTCACTCAGGAAGCGTTCACTTGCTCTGGGTGCAAATGTTCAATCCCCCATTGTGTGTCCTTCTGTCCTACACTGATGGTGAATGAGTGGCATTTCCTCTGCAGTTCACGGAGACGTGGCACAGCTGAGCACGCTCGCGGGAAAGTGGGTGGCCTGGGTGAGCGGTGTTCCAGTTATGGTAGGAAAGCATTTATGCACCAGTAAGAGCTAAATCCCTGGGCCTCAAACCATGAGTGAATCTAGAATCTTCTGCCAGAGGGCTGCTTGTTGATATCATAGGCTCCATCATCTTTTAAGGAAACCAGATTTCTTTTTCAGTTCTCTCTTGAAATTAGCTATAAGGAAGGATACTCTACTTGGTTGTGGGGATTTAGAAACGGAATCGTGTCCTCAATGACAGAATTTAGTGTACCCAAATCAGGCCCAGATGACGGCAATGGTTCATGGCTAGCATGAGGAATGGCAGAGATGGCTGGTCGGGTGCAGGTCAACACCGTGGGATGAGTGGCAGGATGGGTCTGTCTAGAGCCTGGAGACGCTGAAAGCCGCACCCTCATTCCTACTGACCCAGGAGCTGAAGCTTCATCTTAGAAACGTAATCAAGATTGTGTATTACAAAAACACGAAGATGAACTTTTTTGGCACAGAAATGTGAGATAAAATATACAGTGCTACCACTGTGCAAAATTAGCACAGAAGCCAATCTGAAAACGGCAAATATTTAACATTAGCTTTAATGAATTAATACACAATATTTTGAAAAATGTTACCATCGACCTTGCTCATAAGCAGGCGCCTGCCTTCTAGAAACAGCCGAGGTCTGCTGTGATCCCGGGCGAAACACCAAGGCAGAGTCAAGAGAATCATCGCCTTTGGGGTTGAAACCTGGGCATGAGGCTGCCCCTCCCCCGATGCCTCCTAGCCAGTTTGTACTGGAGAAGGAGTGAGGTGAGGTCTTTCTCAGGCAGGTCCCAGGAGCTGAAAACCCAGCCCTCCTTTTGGCATCAGTTCTGTGCCAAGGCTGGAAGATACTTCTGACGTGCAGGGCCTCACCCGTGTGGGGGCTGCAGCTCATATAGGAGCTTGGCTGAGGAATGATGGATGGATTCTGGGGATGGGTGGAGAGGAGGGGGCTCACTGGGAGCCCAGAGAACATGGCTGGGCCTCCCTGTGAGGGGCTGGATGGAGTCATAGCCCCATGGGGGTTTGAGCAGGTGGGGCAGGAGGGCTGAGGCCCAGAACCCCATGACCTGGTCCTTGGGGTGGGCAAATCGTCACATGCACAACCAAGAGAGGCCACAGCTCGCCTGGGCCACCAAGCCCTGGATCAGGGTGTCTGGAAATAAGCTGCTGTTCATCCACCAGGCAGGCTGCGAGGCTTCACTCCTGTTTCCTACTGAGGGTCATGATCACTGGCCCTAGCGCCAGTCTGTGGCATTGGCTACAGCCCTGCTAGCCATCCGCCTGGTGCAAGAGGCTTTCGGGCGCCTGATTTTAAAGCATAACACATCACCTGCCACAGTTCTGAAAAAAATTAAATGGTTCTCAAAGAAATCATCTTAATAAGCTCCAAGGTATGAAGCAGGGCCAAGGGCTATGAGCAGATGGGTCCAGATCGCTCGCCTACCTCTTCCTAGATCTTTTAAGACGGTACCCTTGTTTACAACTCTACTGGATGATGATCCCTTCTGGAGCAGGCAGTCCCTGGATGCAGCTGGTGACTGGATGTGAGGATGGCCACCACCATGGGCTGTAAGAACCTCTTTCGTCAAAGCGTCTTCCTCCACCAGAGGCTGCCGGTAGAGAAATGCTGGGGACCTTGAACCTCAGCTCCACATTCTGCAATGGCTTACCAGCAAAGTGTGTTGCTGGCCCCTAAGAGCAATCCGAGAAGCTGAATTTCAGACTGAGCCCAGGAAGAAGAGCTGAGAAGGCTCTGTCCCAGGTTGGGAGGGCAGGGCTGGGCTAGGTTTCTAGCAGCCTTGAACCTCCCTTCCTGGAAGCTTTCCTTCTCTTCCTAGGAGAGACACCTCTGCCCAGCCCTGCCTTTGCTGAGTCTTCTTTCATCTGGTGGTGAAGAAACAAAAAACGGGATGACGCCAAAGATGGAACCTGGTGACGTTTTGAGGCACCACAGACCACAAAGAAAAAGGGGATGATTCTTCCCAGCAGAGACAGTCCCAGATATCCAAGGCCCTCAGAGAGAGAGAGAGAGAGACAGGCCTCCCTAGTTCCGCTCTGAATGGGGAGCACTTCCTTTCTCAGATGCTGACTTTGGAGAACCCTGAGTAATCTTCTTGGATGAAGGAGACAGACATGAGGTGTGAGGGATCCTTTCTGCAGGGGTGTTTTTGCCATTGATAGGTCACGGGCTGAGCCAGCCCTCAGAATGGAATCCAGGCTGAGGGGCAAATGACACATCTCCGGGGGTGGAGTTCAGGGACCGGATTCCAGCTGCAATCTTGCTAGGCCTGGGCATTTCTGCCCCAGTTCTCCAGGAACCGGGAAGACTGTCAGTCATCTCTGTTGCCTGAAATTCATCCCACTGCACCACAGAGCAAGGCAAGGGTCACGTGAGCAGCGGGATGGACTCATTCATTGCAGAATATTCTATGAGATTTCGAAGGGGAGGCTTTGGGGAGCCGCTGTCATGCGCCGGTCACATGCACTTCTGAGCAAAAATGAGGAGATGGTCTGTATCTTGAAGACTCGAGGGTCTGTGTGTGATCATGGGAGGTGTACCAGGAGCAGGGAGCCGGGATGGTCCCCACGTGGGTCCCAGGAACACGGGAGGCCTTGTTTTCTGTGAATAATTCAGTCTTATAAAAAAGGGAGGCAGACCTTCTCCTGCCCGTTAAATACCAGCTGAGTGCACACTTGTTTCTCACGGGTTCGCATCTGTCCGTTTGTCATCGTTCCGGGGGACTTTTTTTGCTTTGTTTCTTAACGTGCAGAATGTCCAAGGTGCTTTCTGGTGTGGTATCTGGAGAGGGTGAGGACTGATTCGCATCCTGTGTTTTGGAAGCAGCTGGCAGAAAAGGCTGCGGGTCAGAAGCCTGGGCACAGGGGGATGTTGGAGAGGGGAGGTTCCTTTCAGTATCTAACAGAGAGAAGAGGGAGATGATCTGTAGTGCAGGTTTCCTGGTTGGGGAGGCACTCCTGGGACCATCTCTGAGTGGGCATCAAAGACCTACCTCAAAATGACCTATGTGGCATAAATCCAACCTGGGGGGCCAGGACATAGGGCAGCTTGAGCTGTCAGACGGTCCCTGCCTCAGCGTGTGATGGTTCTCTGTTGAAAGGTGCCAGCCGCGTGGGCTGATGGGCACTCCGGGCCCTGGAATTTCAGATAAAGCATGTGTATTGCAGTGACGCTGGCAGACGAGGGGGCGGGAGACCAGGGCATCTCAGGTCCTTCACACTCGCAGGAGCTGACTGCAGGGGCCCCCACCTCCTTACTCACTCAAGCTCTTTCGGTCTCACCTGGGCATGGCTTATCTGGCCCAGGGTCCCCTCAGAAGTTACACAGGCCTCCTCGGTTTCTCTGGAGGGCTGTGTGTGAGTGATCTCAGCTTTCCTTCAAAGCCATGAACAACTGTTCTTGCTATGAGGGGAACACATAGCATAAACCTTCCAGATGATTCCCTAGAGATTTCCTTGAGCAGGAGATGCTCCATGCTCACCTGCGCTGTTCCCATTTTAAGCAACTGAGTTGAAGCAGTTAAAGGACAAGGCTATGGCTTGCCATCAAACCATCACCATCCACCTGTGTCTCTGCGTCAAGTGAAGGCGGAACACACAAACTGATTCTCGCACAGTCCGTTTCAGGACCTCCTTCCTAGTTACTTAATATTTACCCCAGAATGCAAACTCAACTGTGTGGAGCATCTGAGGAGGACTCTGGTCCTTCGAGGTGCTCTGATGTGGGCTCACTGGAGGAGCCCCGGGGCGCCACCAAGCTGCTGGTCTCCATCCTCCCCTCCCTGCTGAGGCCTCTGTACTCGGAGAGCCACGTAGAGATGGGAGGAACGGAGGACCCCATCTTAGGGATGCAGAGTTCTGTTCCCATGGACAGTGTACGGGGGACACATAGGGGTGGAAATGCATCTTGAGTGGAGATGAACATGATCTGTTCAGTGTCCATGCTGGGTCCAAGTTCACAGAAATGGACCCTGGTCTGAAAATCATGGGACCACCTGCGGTGGTTCCCTAAGCCAAGTTTCTCACAACCGTGGGGCCAAGGCCAGTGCGTTTTGGATAGGCTGGGTGACACCAGGTTACCGGGTTGCTGCTGACAGCTGAGTCGGATGTCCGAGTCCCCTCCAAGCCTGGTGAGGGCCGAGGTGGCCTCAGGCTCCTAGGGCATGGTCCTTTCTGAATCCAGCCATGGGGAGGTAGGGGAAGTTCTCCGAACTCAAGTTAAACATCACTAATGGCTCCTTGCCAAGGCCCTGGGGACATCTCTCTGGAAAAGAGCGCTGTAATGGCTGTTGGTGGAGGTTGCAATGAAAGGAACCGGAACCTCCCATCCCAGCCATCGATCAGTTGGACCAGGAAATAACCTTAAAAAGCAAAAGGCAAGGCTAACAGTCATGCTAGTCCGCGTGTGGGAAGGAGTGGAGGGGCTGGCTCCACAGGAACCTTGCCGTGTAGGGGATCAGCTGTGCATCTCAACCAGAGGGCACCCAGCCTGGCCTGGCGCCCACCCTCCTGCCACCTGTGAACTGCAGCGAGGCCCACAAGCAGCTGCTGCAGCCCAGGGCAGACCCCGAGAGAAGAGGGACCACGTGTCCGAGTCTGTCCAGCGAGGCGCCGCCTTGCTCTGGGGCCAGGGACAGTGCGACTCTGAGAATGAAGAGTTTAATTAGGGTGTCATGTGACCAGTGGGGACTGTGTGCTCTCAGGGTCACCAGGTGGACGTGGTCGTCACGCCGAGGTGTGAGGGGCCAGCAGCAGTGGCCCAGGTGGAGGCAGCTGGCATGACGTATAAGGCCTGTGGCTGGGGTTCCGTCGAGGTCAGAGGTCGCCGCTCTGGGGCTCCACGTTGCGTGTCTCCCGGGGCTGACCTCGGGACAGTTTGGGGAAGCGGGAAGCCACTTTGGGCCGGCTGTTCCTATTCACAGGCTCTCCGGGAGGGGTGATGTCACTGAAAGAGCAGGGAAAGAATCAGGTTAAGTCTGGGGTTCAAATGCAAATGACCATAGGCCGGGAGGTGAGCCAGGTGTGCAGGCAGCAGGAGTGACATGGTTGGGGTCTGTGACCAGCTCACTGGAGCCGCCTCTGACTCGTAAGTGCCACCTGGAGAAACGGGAAATGGGAAACCCATATTGTCATGTAAAGTTTCCATCTTTTAAAACCACTCTAAGCTTTTGGGTCCAAGCAAGTTTGGCTGCGAATCTGAGCTAGCTTTACCACCATTCAGGTCTGCATTTTAAGGCTATGAAAGCATGTCGTAGGCGTGGCTTTCTTCCCCACATTTTCACTGATCTTCTAGCAAAGGTACAGTTGTCAGTCATGACTCTGGAGAACGCTGTACGTGAAGTCACAAAAGAGGTGTAGAAACGCAGGAGCGGGGCTTCCTGTGGAACTGATTCCAAGAAAGGCCTCAGGACCCAGGGTCTAGTTGTAAGGTTGTTTGGTGTGGTATTGTGCAAAAGAGCCAGGAACAGAAAAACCAGAAGATGCCACTAAGAGGGGAACACCGGTCCTGGTTCTGAAGCAGCACACAGCAGCATAGTATGTGCAGTGCCCAGGGGACGGGTCTGGGTTGGGAGGCCCTCACAACATTTGAGGGGACAGGGTAGAGGCCGGGGAGGCTGCACCCTGATAGTGAAGGGTGCCTGCTGGAGGGTGCTCAGCAGGGAATCCTGTGATATGATCACATTAAAAAAAATTAATTGTATTTTTTTGTGACAGATTCTTAACTCTGTTGCCCAGGTTAGAGTGCAATGGTACAATCATAGCTCACTGCAGCCTCCACCTCCTTGGCTCAAGCAATCCTTCCCACTCAACCTCCTGAGCACTGGGACTATAGGTACTAGCCACCATGCCTGGCTCATTTTTAAACATTTTTTTGTAGAGATGGGGTCTTACCATATTGCCCAGGCTGGTCTCACACTCCTGGGCACAAGTGATCTTCCTGCTTAGCCAGTCCTTAATTTAATTATGTCTATAAAGTTCCCTTTGCCACATAAGGGGACACGTAAATTCTGGGGCTGGGAATGTTGCTGTTACTCTGTCTACCATAGGCTGTTTGACTAGGAAGTAAACATCAACAGGACTCAGCAGTTGATCACTAAGAATGATCTTGGCTGGGTGCAGTGGCTCACACCTGTAATCCCAGCACTTTGGGAGGTTGAAGCTGGAGGATGACCTGAGGTCAGGAGTTTAAGACCCATCTGCCCAACATGCCGAAAACCCCACCTTTATTAAAAATTCAATAAATTAGCTGGGCATGGTGGTGGATGCCTGTCATCCCAGCTATTTGGGTGGCTGAGACAGGAGAATTGCTTGAACCCGGGAGGTGGCAGTTGTAATGGGCCAAGATCGTGTGGACTGCACTCCAGCCTGGGTGACAAGAATGAAACTCTGTCTCAGGAAAAAAAAGAATGGTCTCTAAGTGGTAATATTACAGATGTTAGAAAATAGAAATAAGAAAAATTGACTACAAAAAATATCTCACTGGGATAAAATGCTTTAAAACAAAACAGAAACCTAATAAGATCTATGTTTGCGCCTGCATCCTGAGGCCCTCTGTCACGTTATGGCTTTCTGAACGTGAGCTCTGGGCCCCTAGACCCTGAAAGGGAAGACGGGACCCCGTCCACAGCTAGCTCTGCCCTATCTGTGGTTCAGGGAGGACCAGGGACACCTAGTAAGTCTCAGATCAGGATCATTCAACCCCAGCTGTCTCCAAGCCCTGTTTCACAAACCAGATGAGTTAAGGAGAGACTTGTGTTCATAAGGACATCATGCCCCTAGAGAGGTCCATGCAGGGTTCCCTGAAATAGCTCTGTCTTCATGCATCTCAGGAGTGATTCTCTTTATAATGATCGGGTTTGGTTTGCATTGCACCTTTCAGGGATGTGGCCAGTGTGCAAGAGGCCTCTTGCTTCCAATTTGAACTGACACCCTGATAAGCTAACAAAATGAAGACCCCTTTTAATGACTGCCTTCTCCTCCTGTAAGTCAGGTTGTGCTTTGCGTTCTATGCATGGATGGAAAATAAACATCTGCCCTGAATCATCTCTAAGCCCGTCCAGCCTGGTGTGTGCCACCCATTCCTCCTTGGGGTGGGCGTCTGGCCGCAGGTCCAAAGCAAACACGCCTCTCTCTTCCTTCATAAGACGACCCGCCTTACCGAAAGTCTCTTTATTCTGAACACTCCTGAGAGGATGGGTCGAAGATGCTGGAAGGAGGTCTTTGTTCACAGTGTAGGGGACGGATTCTTAGAAACATCCAGGAAAGCTTGGATGTAAATGTCACTTTCAACCGAAGCCCTCACAACTCCCTCCGATCATGTTGTTCAGATCTGGGTGGAACAGCCACTCCTTAGCCTGCAATGACCAGAGCGTGGGGTGGGGCCGTAGAGGTAACAGGAGGCACTGGCTTCTCCTAGCCCCTCTCAGAGCCTAAGTGTGAGAGGAGAGGTAGCAGTTGGTGGGGCCAGGATGCTTTTTTAACAAACAGTACCTGCCATGCAGGGTGGAGAGAAGGGGGGACTCCAAGGCAAATGCCTGTGTTCAGTCCTGCTGTGGCCCATGCTGTCTGAGCCTTGGTTTCCTTGTCTGTCATTTGCGGATGACTGCTGTGTGCACATCCTAGTGCTGTGGTATATTTAAGGGCTACTGAAAGCCCCCAACCAGCTGTGTTTCTGTAGGCAAAGGCCTGCCCTCCCTGAGCCCTGGAGAGAATACAGGTTGGGGTGGTTTTAAGCATCATGTGGATCAAATGTGTAGAAGTGATGATGACTGGGCAGCAGCAAACATTCAGCCTCACATGAGCTGTGTCCCTAGACACCATGCTGGGCACAAAGGGGTGCAGCAGTGGCCTTGGGCTTGGAGAGCCACAGTCTTGTCGGGGATGGGGAGGGCAGACTCTGGACAGATCGCTGTGGTAGAGTGCAGCGGACACCCCAGTGAGGGGGAGCCCAGGTTGTTCTGAGCAGGGCACAGAGGGCTTCCTCGAGGAGGGTGAGCAGGAGTGAGCTGAGGGTCGCTGTGGGAAGGGCCCTCTAGATGTGAAGCTGAGTGTGGGTGAAGGTGCAGGCCCTGGGGAAGGAGAGGACTTAGAGCCAGGCAGACCGGCCCAGCTACTTCCTCTTCCTGGAAGGTAGGGTTAGCTCAGGGTGTGCACTGAGCAGTCACGGGGCTGTGTCTGTCATATGCCCATGCCTGGCACCCGGGGACTCCCAGTGAGCATTGGCTGCTGTAGTTGAAGGCGCAATAGTGACCTTGTGTGGCATGTGGACAGCTCAATGCTTAAGGCCTTGTGGAGCAGTGGTGATAGGCAGAGCCATGTCTCGGGACTCGGGCTTGGTGGCTGGTGAGATGGGGCACCCAGGTGAGCTGGAGGCAGGGCTGCTCTGAATCCTGAGAACCCAGGATGAGAATAGGCAGGCCACAGGAGGATGGGCTTCATTTGGGACAAGTTGAGTGGATGACGCCTGCAGAAATCTGGCTGAAGCACAGGGGCTTTGGTGAGTGCATGACAGCTGGGAAACCCAGGTCTGGGTTCTGCTGAGCGTGGTGAGCTTGAGCAGAGAGTGCTGGCAGCCGCTGGCATGTGTGAGGCTGAACCTCTTGCCATCTTTGTAGGTCGAGAACAGCTTAACACTGGTAATGCTGTCTGGCTAACCAACAGGATCTGAAGGCGTGGGATGGGTGGGCCTGCGAGTGTGAAAACTGGGGAAGGAAGCAGGCTGCTGGGGATGGCAGAAGAGACAGGACCAATGAGAAGGGAAGGAGACCCCACATGCTTAGCCAAACCCGTTCCCTACAGGGGAGAGATGAGGCCAGTGCCATGTTTCCTCCAGGACCAAAATCCAGCGGTAGAGACACAAGCTGTAGTTATGCACTTTCCAGGGAAGCCAGAACGCTCGTGTTTATAGTGACGGCCTTAAATAAGAGCCATCGATCTCTTTCTTTTAACCAAGGCTCTCTCCAGTCCCTGCTGCAGAGGCCTCCTCCTGACACCATCCTCACAGTGAAATTCTCATCCCTCATAGCCCTTGTTAGCTGCCGACTTCTGCCGCGTGCACCACCGAGAGTTCTGGAATGACAGCACTATTTCTTAGCTGGCTCCACTGATAGAAACCAGGCCACCAAGAAGCAAACTATCACTTGTATGGCATGACTGCATTTTTGTAAGAAAGTGGGCTTGCAGCTCTGTGGCCTAGGCAGGAGAGGAATGCGTGGACGAGGTACGTTCCTGCTGCCCAGCAGGGACTCTGTTGATGCTGGAGCTAGATCTGTTGTAGTTTTGCAAACAAGAAAAAGGGGCGTCTGGATGGCAGAAAATGCTCTAGCTTAGCCATGAGAATGAATTGCCAAAGGCCTTAACTCCATAGTCAGAGTCAGAAAACCTGGGTTCCTTCTGCTAGACATGACACGACCTTGGAGAAGGAGCCAGACTCCCTACCCCAGAAACGCTTTTCTCATCTACGAAATGAGGATAATAGTGCAATTGTACATCATTCAATACAGATTTCTGGGGTTGGCAATGATTAGAAATAGACTTGGCTCTTCTGATATCCTGAAATAAGAAGGGAAGAGGCACCCATGATGTCGGGCCAGCAAATTCACAGGAACTCTTCTATCTAATACACCAAAGGAACTGGATAGAGACTTTTTTTTTTCTCTTTATTTCTGGTTTAGAGATGGGGTCTCACTGTGTTACCCAGGATGATCTCAAACTCCTGGCCTCAAATGATCCTCTCACCTCGGCCTCCCAAGTACTGGGATTACAGGCATGAAGCACATACCCAGGCAAGGAGGCTTTCACAAAGATTTTACCAACTCGCAAAATACAGCAGACTTCCCAAACTCCCTACATCTATCTAACCTGGGGGAATGGGGCTGGAGGGAGCAGAGGGAACCTTCTCTGAAAAGCCCATCCTCGTCTTTCTGGAACAAGATCAGCCTCTAG